TCCATCAAAGTCAGGGATTCTTCAGAGTTGGCCGACACATGCCATTTGCCTGACGCTCTTAGTTTGTCGCAAGCTCTGCAAAGGCGGTCCTTAGCCTTGGACTTGTGTGAGGCAGCGTCCTTCGAAGCCTCGGAGCGCTGGCATGCTGAGTTGTTACGCCACTTGCAGCAGGCCCCGCCAGTGGAGTTTAAGCAGGTTGACATCATGCAAATTCTTCGTGCGGACCGTGCCGCATGGACTTTCATGGCTGAGAAAGCAAACTCCTTAAAGAAACGTGCCGATGGTTCCTTGCCCATGGATGATCTTTTCGATTCGCTCACTGGGTCTACTGAGGTCATGATGTTTCTCATGCCCCTGCCCGCTGGTGGGCACCACAAACGGCCTGCGCCGCCTGACCACACGGCGACTGCCACTGCTGATCCGACAACACCTCCCAAGAAGTCTCGCACCAAGGCGCGTCGCGATCGGCAAAAGCAGCGTTTGCAGGAGGCCCTAGCCCTTGCAGGCGGCTCTGCTCAACAGGCCCAACCCACGCCATCCACATTCCCTCCCAAGCCTCCTGCGCCCTCAGCCCCTGCTGCTTTGCCGCCTGCCCCCCCAGCTCCGAACCATAAAGGCAAAGGCAAGGGTAAGCGTAAGCAGCAGCGTCAGTCGTGAGAGGATGGCCAGCCGCATGCGCTGGCAACCAGCGCACCCGTTTCCTTTCAGCATGCTGTGCAGGCCCGCGTGTGCGGCAGGCCCTTGCAGTCACTATTTTTTGTCGAGGTTTTCGCGGGTTCAGCCCGCCTTGCTGCAGCAGTCCACAAGACTGGCATCGGCAGTGTCTTCGGCGTCGATGCTTGGATCCCCAAGTCTGCCCCTGCTCCGATTGTCAAACTTGACTTACAGTTGCATGAAGATACTCAAGTTCGTTTCCTTTTGCTGGCCAACCGTGCCTTAGCTGCAGTGCATCTGGCACCCCCTGCGTCGTTGCCTTCGAGGGGTGGCGGTTCTCAGCTGCGCTCTTCATCTTTTCCCGATGGCATTCCGGGCCTGCTGCCTGTCGATGCTGACAAGGTGTCTTCGTTTAATCAGCTCTACGCCTTGAGTTCGGTTATCTTCCTCAGGGCTTCTCAGGCGGGCATTTTGGCCACACTTGAAAACCCGACTTCCAGCTACTTCTGGCAAACCAGTGCGTGGCTTCAGGTCGAGCAATCCCTTCCGCACATTTTCTTCACGTCTCTGCACACGTGCATGTTTGGTGTCACCTTTAAGCGACAGCTCTGCATTGCTCACTGCCACCCGGCCTTTTCAGTCTTACAAGTTCCTTGCTGTCACCCAACTGATCATCACAGTCATGCCGCACCGCGCGAGCACGCAGCCACCTACCCAAGCAAGTTCTGCCAAACCTACGCTGAAGCCCTCTTCCAGGCTTTGCTTCAAGCTGGTGCCGAGCCGCCGCCTCAGGCCCTGCCGGCTCTCCTGGACTACCACTTGCAATCCCGGGTAGCTGTTGGTGCTCAACCCAGAGGCAAGCGTGTGCCTGCTTTGCTACCTGAGCACAAAACCATTTGTGTCCTTGAGGGCCCGGCTAGTGCCCTGCCAGCTGGTTCTATCTTACTTTCACCTTGGCTGCCAGGCGCTCAGATATCGTGTCAACCGCCATGTCCTCTCTTCCCTGCGAAAACGCGTGTGCTGTCTGCCCTTCCTTGCGAGGAGAGTCACGAGGGCGACAGTGCTTCTACCTTTTGCTCCGACTCTTTGTGCAAAGGTGACTTTTCGTCGTCGACTTGCTTGCAGGTTCTAGCTCAATCCTTCATGGAACCTCTTGAAGCCAGGCGACCAGGTGTTCTCGCTGGCTCAGGAAGTGCTAACTACTTTGTGCTAGGGGCCTACAAGTGCTTGCCCAGAATTGGGGTCACCAAACTGACCAGTCAGCACCTTGGTACTGCATCCTTTATCAATGCGTTCTTGAAGCAAAGATTCCCGAGTGACACGTGGTCGGCC